CATAATAGCAGAAGACGCCATAACAGCAGAGACCTAAATCTTGGTGGTACACAGCCCCATAGAAGCAGAGACCTAAATCTTGATGTTGCTCAGTTTGGAATGAAATTAGGCTATGTGTGTATGCACTGAACTGGACGAATGGGCTTCCCTGGTGTGAGAATTGCTTGTGACCTGGAGCTGAATGCATTCAGAAGCAGAGACAAGACTTAAAGACAATGCAACCAACTGAAAACGAAAACTCTGTTGAGAACTGGAGTTCTTTATCCTGGCTGCCAAAACACAAGCTCATTCTTTTCATGTCTTCTCCAGCAGCTGTTCCATCCTGTCCCACCAATTCCTTGGCCTTTTGCCCGAGGGCTGCAGGAGTCATCATAATACGGAGTCCCTTGGCTTCTGTCTTCCAAGTGATGAAACGGAGATGGGGAAATACCTAACAGCCTCTCTCCTGCCCATCCTCTCTTGGCACGCTCTCCATCTTCTTCTCTTTCTTCTTCCTTGCTTGATGGCTTTCGTGCAACAGGTGCATCCAGTTAGGAAAAAAAGTGCTCAGATATCCTTTGAGGAACTGTTGTGCAATGGTGCAAAAATCCTCTTTCTGCTTTCCTTAGGGACCAGAAGGAAAACCGGGCCGGCAAGGGGAGAAGGGGAAAACCGGACTGAAGGTACGGTTGCCGCTGTTCTCTTTATTCCTGGGGATGTTCCTGGACATCTCTTTTTATTTCCATTTTTTGGTGTCCAGATTTATCTCGAGAAGGGAAAACAAGTCTTGGAAAGGGATTGGGAATTTCCAGTTCCTTGATTTTCCCTACACGTTCGTGGTTTAGCATCCAAACTCTTTCTTGAAATATCCTGTGAGGACTAGGTTTGCTATCGCTGACATTTATGCTTGCATCTATAGGGCAGCAAAGGCCATCAGGGTCAACTTGGGGAGACCGGCCCCCCTGGGAAGATGGGCTCAAAGGGGACTCAAGGCCCCAAAGGATCCAGAGGTACCCTAGGAGCTATGGTGAGAACATAGTACAAGTTCCTTGCGTTTAATGACTGGGTAGGATTCCCTTACTGTTGCCTTCAATGGTTGACCTGTTGGCTGTACAGGTAAGTGCCCACCTGAGGGACATGCGTCACCTGCTAAAGCCTCTTCATTCCTCCAGCCAGCTAAAACTGCGATCTTCTTAAAACCTGAAGACGCCAAAGGAACACATATTCAACATGCAAGTTCAAGGCTTTATTCTAGGGATAGAGAAAATATGTTTCATAGACTATATGTGGCCCTTAAACCCAACTTTTGCAGCCACTGAGTCCAACTTTTGGAGCCTTCAAGCCTCTTGTTGTTCTGTCTGAACTATTTTTATTTTTGCAATCCTATCTGGTTATGTGGCCCTTAAACCTAATTGTTGCAGCCACTGAACCCGACTTTTACAGCCTCCATGCCTCCAGTTATTCTTTCTGAACAATTTTGCATGGTCGTATTGCTCTTCTTTTTAATAGATGTTATTTTCGCAGTTCTGTTTGTTGAGTGTGTATATGTGACTGGATATATTAGTAGTAATGTATCTCTGTCTCTGTATATTAATACATAAATACATTATATACGTAAGTAACATCTAAGTACCGTAAATAATAAATGTTGATGACCTTAGCCCCGTTTTATTTGCTAATTTAATTTTAGTGGTGTTCGCTAGCCCTTCAAGCACTGTTCTGTTTTTAGCAGAAAGCTGGAATAAAGATGATGTACCTTTTTGTATTGCTAATGGGATTTCAATTTTATCTCATGGACTTTGGAAGGCTTTGTTCCCAGGGCCACATAGCCAGAAGAAAGAGGTCCTGGCTTGCATAGATATACCTCCAAGGAACACTGGAAAAAAACAAAACAAACACCTGAGAAAAAGCAAGCCTGTGTCTCACATCTATCTATCTATCTATCTATCTATCTATCTATCTATCTATCTATCTATGATTCTTAACACCTTTCTTTGCCTGATGAAGAAGTGGAGCTTTCAAAACCTGCATCATGTATTTTGTGCATTTGGCTTATTAAAGGTGTCACTGTTTCATTCATTCATTCACTGTTTTGTGGATTTTGGATGTTATTGTACTCAAGATGATGATGTTGATAATGATGATGATCATCATCATCATCGTCCTCATCATCATGGTACCAAAAGCCACAGGGTTTTGACAAAGCCAGCCAATGGGATGGTAGGGAAAATAGAAAAAGGGCTTTTCCCCATCAAAAATACTGAATGAGCAATCTCACTGGTCGAAAGTAGAAGATACTGGATATTGGCAGAGCTGACCTTATCTTCTCCTTGCAGGGTGCTCCCGGTCGAATGGGTGTCCAAGGAGAACCTGGCTTAAAGGGCTACCAGGTAAGTCATTCCTTTCAGCTCTGTATTTATAGCTACCCTTCAAGTTTCCCCTTTGTTTTGTCCCTTTGTTTGTCATCACATTGAGTTTGCCCATAGCTTGGGAAGGTTCCCAGAATTGTTGACCCTATGGGGATCCTGGTCAGGAGATTCAGTTCAAGGATCTCACAGATATGGGGGCAATTTTTGCAGTACAGCCGAACTTCTGCATTTGCTATGGATCCATGTGAAAGTTGAAAAAACTAAAGTAAAAAAAAATGACTTTTTTAACATAAGAGAACACCTCTCTAGAAATCTGTAGGTCCTCTGGTGCAACTCTATGGTTAACATCTGGTGCAAGATCTATGGAATTTGACCATAGAATCACGCTGGACTCGTGGTTCCCCAACTTTGGTCTTCCAGGTGTTTTGGACTTCACCTCCCAGGGACCTCAGCCAGCTTGGTCAATTGTCAGGAATTCTGGGAGCTGAAGTCCAAAACATCTGGAGGACCAAGGTTTGGGAATCACAGCCTTGGACAAATATTCTAGACTATGAATATCTACCCATTTCAGTGCCTCTTTTCCAAAGCATTGTCCTTCTCTCTCTTGTAGGGGCACACAGGATCACCAGGACCAATTGGACCACCTGGGCCCAAAGGTGAAAAGGTAAAATAGATAGGTTCTAGTCGACTTCTTGAAAAAGAAAAAAAGTATTGAATAGGTACTACAGGGTAATATATCCTCCAACGTTTTGCAAAGGACATGTGGGGGACATGTGGCCGAGCAACATCAGAGTACGGTCGAGATGGCGAAGATTATTAATGAGGAACAATGCTGCAGCAGTTTGCTTTTGGCCAAAGCTCCAGGGCCTCCTGCTACTTCAATTAATTGAGTGCAATTTTGCATTTTGAACTTAGTATGCATCAATTGAAGTAAAAAGAGGATGAAGGGGGAAAGTGGGAGGAGGAGTGAGAAGCTGGGACATTTTAAAAGCAGCTGAGAAAGTGGGATGGCAGAGGATTAATCCAGACTGTTTGCTGCTTCTCTCTGATCTAGGGAGCACATCCACCTTCTGTTTTGCCTATAAATCCAAAGGGCATCCTTAATATGACTAAGAGGTGCACTCCATCAGGATTTTATTAAGTCTAATATTCCATGCTCTGTGGTTGTGACCTGGCCTCCACTAATTCGCAACTTGGAAACGTTCCTTCCAAGATTTGAAATGTGATCTGGTCTTATTCTCCGACTCAACAGGCTTCGTACAGCAGAGTCCTTGACCATCTGTTAATGATCTCGGTTTGTTCATAAGAGCCACTGTCATCTGAGTATAATTCATAGGATTATTATTTCAGTTTGTGAATTTGATGCTTAGTTAGCTTGCATTTCGAGAAGTGGGTCTTAATGTGAATTTGGCAGAGGGAGGCGGAGTGCGCGGATAGATGATATTCTTTTTAAAAGTTGGCATGTATCTGCCTTTATGTTGCCTGTCGACTTATGCATTTTGTAGGCTTTTCTTAAGAAAGGAATATTCAGAGGTAGTTTTGCCAGTTCTTTCCTCAGAAATATAGCCTTCAGCACCTGGTATTCATTCATTGCAAGTCTCCCATCCAAGTACTAACCAGGGCGGACTCTTCTTAACTTCCAAGATCAGATGGGATCCTAGTTGTTGGTGCTGTGTACCTTCATTTTGCTTCCGACTTATGGACGGCTCAAACCACTACACCAAGGTGTCCCAGAACTGCATAACCTTAACATTTCACAGATGAAAACCAGATCATGCATAGCCAAGCAACATCAGATTGTGGCAAACACCTGGTATTCATTGGTGGCCTCCCATCCAAGGATCATCCAAGGAACCCCAGGGGTGGGATGTTGTCTGGAACCAGCGAGAGAAGGGAGCAAGTGTGTTAGTGGAAGGAGGAGAGAGAAACTGGGACATTTCAAAAGCAGATGAAAAAGTGGGAAGGCAAAGGATTAATCAGGACTGTCCCTTATAAATCAGTGCAATTGAAGAATTGTGCAATTGGATTGAAAAGAAACTTTAGGAGGAATGCTTCTCCTGACATCAGCTCAACTTCTTCCTATGCATTTGGATTCCAGTGTCTTTTGTTGTCTGCAGAAAAAAAAAGTTTATTTTTTCTTTTGGAGGTCATTTGAGTTGCAGTAACAAAATAGCTTTTAAAGCTCTGGTGCCAATGTAACAAAAGCCTAGTAGGCTACTTAAAATTAAATGGTTACAATTGCAAGCTCCTTCACAGCACTTAATTATTTTGAAAACAACTTTTAAAAAAAGCAAAAGCAAATCACTTTTGTTTTTCCTCAAAGTTGCTCAAAGAAGCTACTTTTAGATCCTCCAAAAAAGAAAGCTATCAAAATGCTACAAGTTGCTGGTTTATGGGACAAAACAGAGAGAAGCCACTTCCTTCCCATCTGCAAAAGTAACAAAGCAAAGTTACAACTACAGAGAAACAGGAGTGATGTTATCCCTTCTTAAGTTACAACTGTAATGCATCAAAAGTATCTAAACTACTGTAGATATTAATGGGACTTCATGTTTCTCACAGTTAACCTTCTTATACCTCCCAGCCTGGAATTTCTTCAGATATATATACATGTCAGCAATTAGATTTGCAAATTAAATCTCTGTTTACTTTTTGATGACCATTCATAAAACAAAGCATGCTAAATGCAAAATACGCAGGTAAAGACAATCACAAGTTAGGACAACCAGTGGGTTTCACCACTTAGAAGAACAACTCTGCAAAATAAAATTTGCAAAAGCAAAATGTATATTTGGTCTTAATCTTCAGTTGTGTCTAAATTATTGCAAAAAGGAATGAATTACTCCTAACTTTAACCCCGTTGCTTATTTTCCAGGGAGAACAAGGTGATGATGGGAAGACGGAGGGCCCTCCTGGACCACCGGGAGACAGAGTAAAGTATCTGTTTTGTTGCTCTTTTGTACCTTCAAGCCTTTTCCGACTTAAACCTATCATGGGATTTTCTTGGCAAGATTTGTTCAGAGGAGGTTTGCCATGGCCTTCCTTCGAGGCTGAGAGGTTGTGACTTGCACAAGGTCACCTGGTGGGTTTCCATGCCCAAGTGTGGCATAGTGGTTTGAGTGTTGGACTACAACTCTGGAGACCTGGGTTCGATTCCAAGTGGGGAATCGAACCCTGGTCTCCAGAGTTGTAGTCCAACAGTCAAACCATTACACTGCCTTGCCTCTATGTTACCCAGTACTAAAATTATAAAGTGAGTTGTCTCACGATTCACCCCAAACTCTGGTGACTGCATGACTCCAGACGCTCATAGAACATCACATCTTTGAAATCTCTGCATAAATAAAAAAACTCCCTGCATGCAGAAAGCTAGCTCAGCAAGGGAAGGAATAGGCTAGAACTTTTCTTACTGGCTTGAAGAAATGCACTTTAAAAACCTATACCCTAAAAACTTGCTCAAACCCTTTAGGGCCTTTTGAAGGATGCACAATTCCTCGCGTGAGATTTTGATGGAAAGTGTGGGATACAGTGGCAGAATCCCATGGGATCCTGGCTATTAAGAAGAAGATGAAGATGATGATGAAGAAGATATTTATTTCTTACCCACCTCTCCCTATGGATCGAGGCAGGGAACAACTAAAACATACATCGATTTAAAAGGACAGGCATACAGTTTCAGAGGACAAGATATACACGTATTAAAACCATCCACATTTAAAAGCCATCATTTAAAATTTCCAGTTTAAAAGCATCTGGGGAAGTCTGCAGGAACGCATTAGTATGGCACAGAGCCAGTTTGTCCTAAACTCTTTCCCGCCTTTCGTTCCCCAGCGTTCTCTGAAAACAAAAACTCTTTTTTGCCTTATGTTGGAAAAGTACCTTCCTTGAGAGGGATTATTGCTATCATCGGAGGCCACCATTGAAAAGACCCTGCTTTGGGTGACAGCTATGAACTGGACTCTTATCACAGGCAGAAGATGAAACCGGGATTTGGATGGGCTGAGGTTGCCATTTCATGTCTCTCTTGCCTTTTTCTGTTGCTCTCCTTTTAGGGTCCGCCTGGGGACAGAGGCGCTCGGGGAGAGTCCGGAGACCCTGGTTATCCTGTGAGTCCTTCTCCAAATACCTGGTTAGGAAATTAACCATCTTGGGAAAAAGTTCTCTGTGACGTTTGGTGATGCTGAGGAATTAGACCTGGGCTGCCTCCGCATTGCAGAAGTAATCCGGTTTGGCACCGCTTTAACTGCCACGGCTCAATGCTATGAAATTCTGGGGATTTTTGTGAGACATTCAGCCTTCTCTATCCGGAGAACTGTGGTGCCAGAACAAACTACAGTTCCAGGACTCTATAGGATTATTTCTGCAGTGCGGATGCAGCCCCACTGTCCTTTGAAACAGGGTTTCTCCATCTTTGGGACTTTAGCTCTTAGGAGCCTTCCTTGGAAAAGCTATTTTTTAAAAAGTCACTCATCTCACATTCCTCTTAAAAGGGGTCAGGGGAAAAAATATATTATTGTTATTACTCATTGCGGTGTTTCAAAAGGAAACCACGGTGTTACTTGCTCCATACTTGGAGGGAAGAAGGAACTCAAAGATTAGTAAAAGAAGTTGAGAAATTCCTGTTCAAAATTTCTCTAAAATGTCTGTTAAAAAAAAGTGACTTTTAACAAGTGAGTTGAAAATGTTATTGCACCAGCTTTGATCCCACCTTTTAGTCTTAACATGTAAAACTTGTTTGTAAAGTTATTTCCACGCTTTGGGCATGGCTGATAGTAAGGATCTTTTTTTGGGAGCCGAAATCCAACCTTCTGGTAAGCCAAAGATGGCGAATGGAGGGCTTTAAATCAGGCTGTGTGACACGATTGAGAGGCTTCATCCAGAATTTGGGGATCTTGAGTTTGGGGTTGATTTTAGATACAGGATCAGACTGGCTTAAACACTTCTGGAAGTTTGATTCTGGAAGGAGATTCTCCTCATGTTAGTTCATGACTACCTGGTTAAGTTTCTTAACTTTACATCATGTTGCCTATGGTTGGTGAGCATCTCAGCTGAAAGAGTAACTTGGATCTTCTCTCTTGCTTCTTTTTAGGGTCAAGAAGGTCTCAGCGGAGAAAGAGGAAAACCTGGACAGCAAGGCTTACCCGTAAGAAACCTTTTGGGCTCTTGCATTCAAAGAGAAAGAGAAAGAATACCTGAAGGGACACGTTCATGGTGCCACACTGTTCCTGTATTGTAATTTCTATTTCACATCACCGGTTGTCAATGACAATGACCTAGAGATGAAATTTCTAGCATAAGCTTTCATGGATTTAGTCCATCTGATGAAGAGGACTGGAGTCTATGAGAGCTGGTGCTAGAAATTGGCCAACGTTTGGGTATTTCCTGCACGTTTTAGTACACTGGAAGCATTGTTGCATCACTTTCACCTTCTGTTTTGGCCACGTTTTGGCCATTTCCCACACATTTTAGTACAATGGAAGCAATATAACATCACTTTTGGCTGCCATTTTGACCACGTTTTGGGCATATTGTTTTTTTGGGTTTGTTTTTGGGGGTGTTTTTTTGAGAGGAGGAACTTCATGTTGTTTAGAGAGTTGGGGGAAAAAACTGCCATGTTTGCAAGCAGTTTGGGAGGGTTTGGGCTAGTCTGGAAGCAAAAAAAAATAATTTTTTTTAACTGTTTTAAAAGGGGGAAAGGTATGGGGAACTACACACAGGGGTCCGAAGCAATGCAGGAAACCCACAGTCTGCATTGTCCAGCTCTGCTCTAAGAGGTTTCACATGGCTAGTGCCACCATTTCTCATCTCTTTTGTGCATCATGAAAAACAAATCTGCTAGGGTGCAACGTCCTAAGGATTTTCTTTAAAATGCACTCTCCTTCCCTTCTTTTAGGGACACCCAGGACCACCAGGCCAACCGGGGCTGAAAGGATCCAAAGGCAGTATAGTACGTTTGAAGGGGCAATGTGGAAGAAAGAGCCTGCATTTCCATGCTTGGTTGGACTTGATAATCTACTTGCTTGCTGTCCTTGGCAATGCTGCCATTTGGGAATTTCCTGCAACTGTAAACCATGTTGGTCTTATCCTTTCTTCCTTCCTTTTTTTCTTTTAAGGGTCAGAAAGGCAAGCAAGGGCGAAAGGGTGCCACGGGCAGTAGAGGTTCATCGGTAAGTGAAAAAGCATTCATGCTTCATGGTTCTTCCCATGCATTTCTCTATTGCTGCACAAAATAGGTAGATGTGCCTGAAATGGAGAGATGCAGCTCTCTTGAACTCTCCCCAAGATCTTTCCTCTTGAACCCCTTCCAGACTGTACTTGGTTGGATCAACACGACCGCTAGGTTGTCCATGCAAGCTTTGGGAAATTCACAGTCTCCTTTTGGTCTGCAATGACGCCCATGGAAAGAGAAGAAGAGCCATGTTGGATCAGACTAAAGACCCCTCTGGCTCAGAGTTAACACTTCCCTGTGGCCAACTGGAGGCATAATTTCTCCTACACATCTCCAGGGCATTGTTGTCTCTGACTTATGGTGACCCTAAGGGGAACCTATCACAGGGTTTTCTTGGCATGTTTCTTCAGAGGGGGTTCGCCATTGCCAACCAGGAGTCCTGGTGGCACGGTGGTTATATGCTGGTGCCGCAGCCACAAGGTTGTGAGTTCGATCCCAGGGCTCCAACGTTGACTTAGCCCTCCATCCTTTTGTAGGTTGGTCAAACCCAGCCTGTTGGCAGCAGTTAGTTTACCACCTAGAGAGGGATGAGTTCACTAATAAGTGGTATAGAAATGTAAATGCTAAGACTAATGCTATCTTCTGAGGATGAGAAAGTCGGACTTGCCCAGGGTCAAAGCCAAGCATAGGCAACCTTTCCTCTTTAAGGGCCGAGAGACTTCAGCTCCCAGAATCCCAGGAGCTGTTGGCCAACATGGGACTATTGGCCAACATGGCTGAAGCTTCTGGGAACTGAAGTCCCTCGGCCCTTAAAGGGGAAAGGTTGCCTACCCCTGGTCAAAACCATTGGGTTTTCTTGGCCGAGCGGAGATTTGCACCCTGATCTCCAGGGTACATGGTTGCAAATGCTTTTATTTATTTCTCTGTAGGGTCTTGTAGGACTGCCAGGGCCTAGAGGAGTGGTCGGAAGGCAGGGTCAGGAAGGCAGCCCTGGAGCTGATGGGATTCCTGGGAAAGATGGCGGCATTGGCCAAAAGGTAAGCGTGAAAGTTTGCGGCGGAGACCTGCTTTCCTATTCATATGACTACTGACACTTCTAGTGCTGCTGCTCTACCTATAGTATGTACATCTAGGTTTTTAAAATATCGCTTTTTGTGTATCTTACAAAATCAAAGCACTCACCTCCAAGCATTAATGCTCACTTTTTGTACATTTTAAATCGTATTGCACTTTTAAACTGTGAGCTGCAATTTTTTTTTTGGGGGGGGGGGAAGTGGGATATAAATAGATATTGTGGGGTGCCATAGTTGTCCCATGTCCTCTCCATCATACTGTTGTGGGACACAGAATGACACCCTTTGACTGCTGCATTATTGGTGGGTTCAATCATAAGCAATATCTGCTTATGTGATATATTGTTTCTCAGAATTTGTATTGCCAAGATATTCAGACAGACAGAACTGAGCTTTCTTTCTCTTCTCCTGCTCCGTAAGGGAGAACAAGGCGAGGACGGGGAAGAAGGCATGCCAGGGATGTCAGGGGAAAGAGGGAACCCCGGTGTCCTCGGTCTTCCAGGAGCTCAGGGACCCCCAGGATTCAAGGTTGGTCCCCTTCCTACTGGTTTTTGCTGTCATACAGTTACTTTACAACCCTGGCCAACTTGCAGGCTTTGGAATGGCACCAGAGTCCTGTCATGTTAGGCAAAGGACATTGCTGTCTGATGCCCTTAAGCCTTTGCGTGTGTTGGTTTTGGAAAGATTTCTTCAGTGGAATTTGGGAAGGCAGGGCTCCAGTCCAAAAACTAGGGATGGACCCATCCGTCTATTTTTGGCCAGTGTCAGTTCTGCATGCATCCATTCATAGGTCTGTCCTGCTTCCTCATCAGTTTTGCAAAAATGTTTTAAAAATGCATGCAAATTTGTATTATTTTTGAACATAGTTTTATACAAAATTGTATGCATAGTTTGCATGTATCCTAATATACGTTTTGTGTGCATTTTTGCAAGAGTAACCTTTATGGCTGTGTTGTTCTTCTGTGACTTCAAGTCGTTTCCAATTTATGGTGACCCTAAAACAAATCAAAATAAATGCAACCTCAGAAAATTGCCAGTGTTTCAGATAAGAAGTTATGTGTGTTGCATGGGATGTCTCTTTTGATCCTATCTGGAACCTGGGACCTTCTGCATCTGAACCAGATGCTTTACCATCAGGTAACCAATTTTCCCACCATGATTCCCAAATTTGGTCCTCCAGATGTTTTGGACCTCAGCTCCCAGAATTTCTGACTGTTGACCAAGCTGGCTGGGGCATCTGGGAGTTGGAGCTCCAAAACATTTGGAGGAATTCTGGGAGCTGAGGTCCAAAACATCTGGAGGGTCAAAGTTTGGGAATAGTCGCTTTATCCTGAGACTCAGGGCCAAGCCCTGAGATTTGTAAACTCTAACATTGATAATAGACACTGCTCCTGGTAAATGTTTGTTATCAACCCCACTAGGGTTTTTAGATCTCAGGGCTTGGCCCTGAGGGTAAAGGAAGGAATCTCAGGGTAAAAGAGAGAACTTGAAAGTGTGTGTGTGTTGTCTATTTGAATAGACTATTCTATGGAGCTGTGGTTAATGGTGAAAGTATCATGAGTAATAACTTCATTGAGGCTGCCATCCATGACGTCAACCCTGTGGAAACATCAGGACCCACTCTCTGTCATATCACAAATTGTTGCCAGAGCCTGGGACACTCCTGACCTGGCAACCTTGAACCCCACAAATGTGGTAGTCCTTGGTGTTCTTTTGGCAACTCATAGGAGCTCTCCTTGCCAACCTCTGTACACCTCCTTCACCTAGACATGGACTCTCATCTGTCAGATTTAACCACTGCACCACCATAGTACAACCCAAATGGGTTCGGTTTTCCTCTGAATTATATTCATTCTTCTTTTTCCCCACCATCTGTTTCCTTTTAGGGAGAAACAGGATTGCCTGGACAGACTGGCCCCTCAGGGAAAAGAGGTCCCCCAGGTGGAATGGGGCTCCCTGGAAGTCCTGGAGACCCAGGATCCAAAGGGCAACCGGTAAGTAAATGGGTTATTTATTTAATGGCACCCAACTCTTCTCCCCACAATCTGGGGTCCCAAGGTGGCTTGTTGTTGTCATTAACTGCCATCAAGTCAACTTCAGTTGAAGTCCACTTCAAGTTGTGGCAACCCCATAAATTGACGTTGACTTCAACTTCAGTTGATCTCAACTTCAACTTCAGCTTGTGGCAACCTCATAAATTGAAGCTGACTTCAACTTCAGTTGACTTCAACTTCAGCTTCAGCTTGTGGCAACCATATAAAGTGAAGTTGACTTTGAGTTCAATTGATCTTAACTTCAGCTTCAACTTGTGGCAACCCCATACCTTGTGATAAACCCATCAATTGAAGTTAACTTCAACATATGGAAACCATAGAAACGAGAGACCTCCAAGTCACCCTATCCTCAACAGCCCTGCTCAGGTCTTGCATCTTCATGTCCATAGCTTCCTTCATGGAGTCCATCCATCTGCAATGCAGTCTTCCTCCTTTCTTGCTGCCTTCTACCTTTCCAAGCATTATTCTCTTTTCTAGTGAATCGTGTCTTTTCATGATATGGCCAAATACAACAGTCACAGTTTAGTCATCATGGTGTCTAGGGAGAATTCAGGTTTGATAGGCCCTAGGGCCCATTTATTTGTCTTTTTAGCAGTCCATAGTATCCATAGAATTCTTCTCCAACACTACATTTCAAATGAGTTGATTTTCTTCCTATAAACTTTTATCACTGCTTTCACAATTATAAATAGAAATGGGAAACACAGTGATACAGACAATTCCCATTTTAGTATTCAAGGCTATATCCTGACACTTCAGGATTAAAATGTATTTGTTGTGGTTGTTATGTGCCTCCAAGTAGTTTTCGACTTATGGCGACCCTATCATGGGGTTTTCTTGGCAAGATTTGTTCAAAGGAGATTTGCCATACTCTTACCCTGAGGCTGAGAGCATGTGACTTGCCCAAGGTCACCCAGTGAGTTTCCACGGCCGAGCCAGGAATTGAACCCTGGTCTCCAGAGTCATAGTCCAACACTCAAACCACTATGCATTAAAATGTATACAGCTAAAAGATTCACACCATACAAAAGTTAAAAATACAATTGAACTAAGAACAGAATGAAGAGCAGTTGAAAACATGACACTTAGGGCAACAAATAAGCAGTGTAATATAGCAATTATTTCCTTTCCATTATTCTCCCCCCCCCCAAAGCAAGCAAGCAAATTGAAATGCCTGTTTGCTTTAAAATGGTTTCCTTTTCACCTCCACAATTTTTTAAGCGTTGCTTTATTTTCTCTCTCTCTCATGTATGGGTCTTTGGAAAGGCACTTGCAATGTCTTCAGTGCTTCCAAAACGGTCTTTGCGCTTGCCAAAGTGTGTCTCATGAACAGGGCAGGAAAAAGTTTCCCAAACGCCAAAGGATGTTAAGAACTCTGGAAAGGACTTTTGCAACAAAAGTGGTGGAAACCCCTGTCTTTTGAGTCATTTACAACCAAGTCGAACAAGCCCCTTTGGAATAAGTTGTGGAGCACAGCTGAGCCTGAAGGCTACACAGGCCATAAAAGGATCTCCTTTTCCCCCCATTGATGAGATTTCTGTGACTCATTGAGGGTCTTTTTGGACCGTTTCCCCCCTCGAAATGTTCCAGCAGGCTTTCCCCATCTTCTTGTGCAATGGTCAAAAGAGATGCAAAAGCATGTCCTGTGGATATGGAATGCAGGGTGTGTTTGGCTCAGAAATCTTGGCCATGTTCATCCTTAAATATCCCTTCTTGGTATTGCTTTCTCTTGGGTTACCAACTTTCTGAGCACAGATGCAAGACCCATTAACCCTGTTCTGGGAGATTTGGCCCTAAAACTATAACTTTTCCAAGCCCTGGTTGGTTCAGAATTGGTGGGGAGCTTCCTTTGGAACTATTGATTTGTTCTTGCTATATGATCAGAAGGGAACCAGATACAACTAGGTGGCATGAACTTCTGGTGTTGTTGTGTGTTGTGTGCCTTCAAGTAGTTTCCGACTTATGGAGACCCTAAGGCGAACCTATCACAGGTTTTTCTTGGCAAGTTTCTTCAGATGGGGTTCACCACTGCCATCCTCTGAGGCTGAGAGAATGTGACTTGCCTAAGGTCACCCAGTGGGTTTCCATGGCCGAGCTGGGATTTGAACCTTGGTCTTCAGAGTCATAGCCCAATGTTCAAAGCACTACACCACACTGGCTCTCATGAACTTCTTAGGGATGTTTATAACTTGTAACTTTTAATCTGTTAAATCAGCGGTCCCCAAATTCTGGTCCTCTAGATATTTTAAGTTTCAATTCCCAGAGGTACTGTGACCAGGACATTTTAGAGGAAAGCAAAGGAAAATTAGACAACCCAGAAAGGAATTTTGTTGGAAAAAAGGTAGAAGGCAACCACTGCTACCTCTAACACTAAGCTTTCCCAAAACGTAATGATGAATCTTGCTGTCCCTCAAATTGTAAAGTTTTATTCTTGTTCTTGTTCTCCTCCTCCTTTTCCATTTTCTTTCCTTTCTCTTTCTCTTTTTCCTTTTCCTTTTCCTTCTCATTTTCCTTTTCCTTTTCCTTTTCCTTTTCCTTTTCCTTCTCCTTCTCCTTCTCCTTCTCCTTCTCCTTTCCCTTTTCTTTCTTTCTCCTTCTCCTTTCCCTTTTCTTTCTCCTTTTCTTTTTCCTTTTCCTTTTCCTTTTCCTTTTCCTTTTCCTTCTCTTCCTCTGTCTTTTTCTCCTTCTCCTTCTTCTTCTGTTCTCAAATGCCTCTGTAGGCTTGGCTATGCCAAAATACCAATGCCAGCCTTCTCTCGTCACCTCTTGCTAAGAAGAGCTTCTTTGGAGCCAAAGAACAGATGGATTTTGACTCTCTTTACAAAACCATTTCCTCCCCCTTCGACATGGCTTGGCTCGGAGACCGTTGTTGGCCTTTCCAACTCATGAACCATAATGATTTTTGCAGCCCTGAGCTGTTTAAACTGAACACTTCCTTTCATCTGTGTTTCGTTTCTTTGTATTTTCTGAAAACCTTCTAGGGAGACTTTGGTGAATCAGGATTTCCAGGGATCGCCGGCCTGTTTGGGCCAAAGGTGAGATCACAGCACATGTATAAATGATGTTGTTGCTGAAGCCGGCTCTTTGTCTTAGCTCTATAGGGCTTTTTTTTCCCAGTGAGCAAATGTAACACAACCTTGACATCACATACTAGGTGCAAGCAAAACATGCACAGATCCTGATATGGGATTGCCATGATGTACTAGGGAGAGTGGTGTTGATTTTGTAGGAAAAGGGTACACATATACACACAACCTGGTCATTCTGACTGGCTCATTTCAACCTTTCCAACACTTGAGTGGGATTTGCTCATAGAAAAGTGATCAGGATATGTTTAAAAGTCTCCTTCGGTATAGTTTTTAAAAATCTCCTTAAAGGCAAATTACTGGAAAAGCACAGCACTTTTGGAGTTCTTGGAAGAGCATCATTTTATTCTTTTTTAAAAATATGTTCTGAACTTAGTGGATATGGACAGGTTCCAGAAAAGGTCTTATCCTCAACTAGAGGAGAACCATACAATTATTATTACTATATTTTCTTATATCCTGCCTTTTCTCCCAATATAGGGACTTAAAATCAATGGGAAACTTAAAAAGTAAATACTTTTTGCAAGCTTTTGTGATTCAGTGGGTCTGCTGAAAGGAACAATTGGATTGAGGTCACACAATGTATTTACTGAAGACTTCTACAAAAGTTTCTTCTCTACATGATGGCATCTGCATTGTCGTAGAGGAAAGGACAAATAGTTTTGGGTCTGAAGATCTCTCTAATCTGTAAAATAAATGACCAGGTTGTATCTCTAATACTGTAAAGAATAATGGTTGTGTGGTGTGTGTGTGTGTGTGTTGCTTTCTCCTTAGGGACCTCCTGGTGATCTCGGGTTCAAAGGTATCCAGGGTCCCAAAGGTCCGCAAGGCCTGATGGTGAGTTTGGGAAGCTCTTTGACAGTCATTTGCCCCCTCTGTCTCACCGATCTTTGGTTGGGTAACTACGGCAAGTAACTACAACTAGTATTAATATATCAACCTTGGATTAAGTGTCATTGTATGGAAGCTACAGAGTAAGGACCTGTTATAGAGGGACTGGCCTCCTTCTGTAGCGGCTTCTCCTTGATCGTTTCCCATTGACAAAATTTTACTTGGCCTCATCTTTGCTGTTGAACTCTTCTGAGATGTTCTTCTGCTCGGAAGGCAATTGTTGTTCTGTGATGATGAAGCAGATGCTTGTCCTGTAAGAGACCCAAAAGCAATCATTCTTGAGTTGCCGAGATATCCATTTCCCCCCAAAAAAGCACCCATGGTTTCTTGGAGGTCAAAGTCCGAAGAGGTCCAATATCTCCCATTGTTAGGTCAGATGTAAGTGGTCTTCTACATGCACCATGTCTATTCCAAGTAGAGCCATCCCATGCAGAGGCTGGGGATAGATCTAAAGATATCGCTTTCCTGTAATTTTTCCTTTGGTTGCATTGACCTTTGCAGTTACCTTTGGGTCTTCCTAAGCTGCTATGGTAAAATAGGGGACGGTATAAAGCAGGGGTGGACAACTGTGGCCTCATCTTCACTTGTCTGAAAAATGGGGATAGAAAACTGGGCAGCTTCCAGAGGCTTGTTGTTTGGAAGGGAAGAAGGAAGGATCAATTCAATTCAATTTCTTTATTACGGCCAATTGGCCAGCGCAGAAGGAAGGATCTATTTTCAAGCTTCAGCAATGAGAAGTGTGGACAGTTGGAGAAGTTAAGTTGACTAACCCCCCATTTCTTTGTAGGGGAAAGAAGGAGTCATTGGTCCTCTTGGGATTCCAGGTCCAACAGGAAGTCCGGTTAGTGTCCGTCTTGCTCATCTTTTCCTTGTGTTGGAAATACAACACGACGTCTCTAGGAAGAGAGTCCCAAAATCTAGGAACAGTCACTGAGAAGACCCTCTCCCTTGTTCCCACCAAACAAGCTTGGGAAGGTGGTGGGCCTGAAGGAAGGACCTCTTCTGAAGATCTTCTGGAGATCTTAGGCCCCGAACAGGGAGATGATGCAGTCCTTCAGATAGCTTGGACCCAAGCCATATAGGACTTTGAGAAATAACAGTTCAATTTTTCCTTTAAGGAGTGCTGCATTTTTACTGTGAAATCTTTGAAGTGATTTTATACTCTTTTAAATTATGGCTGTTTTTACACGATAGCTGATTTTTAATTAATTTTTGAAAAATGCTTTTATGGTCAGGTTCCCCCCCAACCCTGGTTGGGTCTCATTTTAACCTTGTTGCCAGCCACCTTAGTCCCTTGTCAGGAGAAAGGAAGGCTTTGTTGTCATTGTGTGCCTTCAATCATTTCCAACATACGCCATCCCCAAGGCAAACTATCATGGGGTTTTCATGGCAAGATTTGTCCAGAGGAGGTTTGCAGTGGTCTTCCCCTGAGGTTGAGAGAGTGTGCCTTGCCCAAGGTCATGGCTGAGCTGGGAATCAAATCCTGGTCTTCAGAGAGGTAGTCCAATGCTCAAAGTACTATGCCACGCTGGCTATGGATTAAATAAGTGAATGAATATATAAATATATATTTCTTTCTGTCCCCACAGGGCCCCAAAGGAGACAAAGGCAGTCGAGGTGAAACGGTGAGTGATCTTGCACCCTTTTAGGATTTTATTCTGAACCAGGAGATTAGGAACACTGGTGACATGTTTTCCACCAGTATGATCCCATTTGTCTTAACTGGGAGGGTGGGAAGATAGTGGGGAGGCTTTATATACATAGTCCTCAATGCAAAATGTCATCATATTGACCACTGAGAGTCCATCCACACTGCAGAAATAATTTGGTTTGGTTTCCCCCCAACAAACTACAATCCCCAGAATCTCATAGCATTGAGTCATGGCCGTTAAAGCGGCGTCAAACCAGATTGTTTCTGCAGTGTGGATGTAGCCTATGTTTCAACAACTAACAGTCATATTAAATGAATGAATTGCCTTCATCTTTTCCAAATGAATGGATTAATTTCATCTTCTTTATCTGTTTGTTTCTCCTTCCTCCGACAGGGATTGCAAGGTCCGAAGGTGAGTCTGTTGCAGCATCACTAACAAAAAGGTTCCTTCCATCCAAACCTCTCTGAAGCACAAAACAGTTTTGATACAAATAAGCAAGCAAATACGGTGCAATTTAAGTATAAAATACTGAGCATAAAGTTTTGGTGCCGTTGTGCGACAATAGAAGGATGTCTAAATAGAAGCCAGGTGAATGAAAAGTCTAACCAAACCGGAAACTGCTCACCTCCCAAAAAAGAGCGAAAGAACACAACGAAATATAAGAAAATGGTGGATGGAAACGTGAGGTCCTGCTAAGATTATACCGATTGCAGATATCAGCAGACTTCACAAAGGAAGAGGAGGCACATCTCAGGATGCTAAAAAGATAGCCTTAATTTGCTAAAACGCTTTTTGGTAAACAAAGACCCTCCTTTGAGCATCCTGAAATGTGTCTCCTTTTGCTTTGTGCCTTAGGGTCACCATAAGTCAGAAACATGAAGAAACATGAAGTCAGAAACAGTGCAACACAGTCCTCCACACAGTTCAAAAACTCTGGATTCCAAGCTACCTGAGCTTGGAAAAACTAGAGCTGCTGGCCATGCTGGTTGAGAGATTTTTGGAACTGCAGTCTTTGGCAAAAAAAAAAAAAGGAACTTTTCCAAACTCTGCACCAAAACCAGCTGGAATGAAAGACCTCATGTGATCTCTACAAGAGCCCTTGTCTTCTTTCATCTCCATCAGGAAGGATCAGCTGTGTGAAGTCATAGGCTTTCATGGACAGCATCCATAGTTTTTTTTTGTGGGTTTTTCGGGCTGTGTGGCCATGTTCTAGAAGAGTTTCTTTCTGCAGTAGCAGAACACATCATAAACCATCCTAGGTATAAAATGCTGTTTGAAAACACTGAAATTCTGGACCATGCCAACAACTACCAGGTCAGAATGCACAGGGAAGCATCAAAATCCACAAACACTTGGACAACTTCAATAGGAAAGAAGAAACCCTTAACGTAAACAGGGTTTGGCTACCAGTCCTACAAAATAGGAAAATCAGCACTCAGCAAATGCAAATGGGAAACCAAACAGGGTCAGGGGCTTTCCCAGCAGACAATAGCAGACAATATCCTTGTTTGCATATCCTCCCACCCTGAA